GTACAAGTGAAAGGACTACTGAGCTCTTAGCTCTCATACATACCGATGTGTGTGGACCTATGAGCACAGAAGCTAGGAGAGGCTATCGATACTTCATTACATTTACTGATGATTTTAGTAGATACGGGTATATCTACCTAATGAAACATAAATCTGAGTCTTTTGAAAAGTTCAAAGAATTTCAGCATGAAGTTGAGACACAAACAGGCAAGAAGATAAAGGCACTTCGATCAGATCGAGGGGCATCTTCTCTCCGTCTCGAGCTGTGTGTGGATACCTATAGGCATTTTTCGACGCCTACAGGTTACCCCAAGGAAACGAGGGGTTATAATTTCTACAATCCCGTTGAGAACAAGGTGTTTGTTGCTCGGGATAGTGTCTTTTTGGAAAAGGATTTCTTTTCCAAGAAGTCAAGTGGGAGAAATGTTCAGCTTGATGAGATTCAACCTGAGCAACAAACCCTACAGCATGAGGACATAGAAGATGTCACAGAGGAACTTGATTTTGGAGGCGTACCTTCTCAAAGGGAAACCACCCATATTCAAGATGCAATTCCTCAGGTAGATGAAGCACCCGAGGTCCCACATACTGATGTGGTCAATCCTCCTGCTAAAGTCTCTCCAGCTGTTGGACCACTTTGGAGATCAAACAGGCCAAGGCGGCAACCTAGACGATATGAGGATTTCGTCTTGAATGCTAGCATTGACGTTCTACTTTTAGAGAATGATGAGCCTGCTACCTATAAACAAGCAATGGCGAACCCCGACTCCGAAAAATGGCTTGAAGCCATGAAATCCGAAATGGACTCCATGTCTGAGAATCAAGTATGGGACTTGATAGATTTGCCTGATGGGGTAAAACCCATTGGATGCAAATGGGTCTTCAAGATCAAGACAGACAAGGATGGAAATGTTTCTGTCTACAAGGCAAGATTAGTTGCCAAAGGATTTAGACAAGTTCATGGTATTGACTATGATGAAACGTTCTCACCGGTTGTTATGATCAGGTCCATTAGGATAATCCTAGCAATTGCCGCTTATTATGATTATGAGATATGGCAAATGGATGTCAAGACCGCTTTTCTAAATGGATATTTAGAAGAAAATGTATACATGATGCAACCAGAAGGTTTTGAGGATCCAGAGAATCCTAGGAAAGTATGCAAGCTTAAGAAGTCTATCTATGGACTTAAGCAAGCATCCAGGAGTTGGAATCTTCGTTTTGATGAAGTGGTCAAAAAGTTTGATTTCATCAGATGCGAAGAAGAGCCATGTGTTTACAAGAAGTTTAGTGGGAGCAAAGTGGCCTTCCTGGTTCTATATGTGGATGACATATTACTCATTGGAAATGATATTCCTATGCTGGAGACAGTCAAGGAATGGCTTAAGAAGTATTTCTCAATGAAGGATCTAGGAGAGGCAGAGTACATATTAGGCATTAATGAAGTATTTCTCAATGAAGTATTTCTCAATGAAGGATCTAGGAGAGGCAGAGTACATAGAGATAGGTCTAAGAGGCTTATTGGTCTAAGTCAAGGAACTTATATAGATAAGGTCCTTGCTAGATTTAATATGGTGAATTCAAAGAAAGGATTCTTTCCTATGCAACATGGCTTACGTCTCAGTAAAAGCCAGTGTCCTAAAACACCTGGTGAAATTGAGAAAATGAGTAGGATTCCCTATGCCTCAGCCATAGGATCCATCATGTATGCTATGACTTGTACTCGCCCAGATGTTGCGCACGCTTTGAGTATGTGCAGCAGATACCAATCAAACCCTGGAGAGGCACATTGGTGTGCAACCAAGAACATTCTAAAGTACTTGAGAAGAACTAAGGATAATGCCTTAGTGTATGGAGGTGATGACGAGCTGATCGTCAAGGGCTACACTGATGCGAGTTTCCAGACAGATAAAGATGATTTTGAATCTCAGTCTGGATATGTCTTCATTCTGAATGGAGGAGCCGTCAGTTGGAAGAGCTCAAAGCAAGGGACAATAGCAGATTCTACAACGGAAGCAGAGTACATTGCTGCTAGTGAAGCAGCTAAGGAGGCGGTCTGGATTAGACAGTTAATAGCTGAGCTCGGTGTTGTTCCTAGCACTTCTAGAGCAATTGACGTCTATTGTGACAACAATGGCGCCATTGCTCAAGCCAAGGAACCTAGCTCTAGCTCCAGATCTAGACACGTCCAACGAAAGTACCACTTGATCAGACACTATGTTGATAGAGGAGACGTGAGGATGTGCAAAGTGCACACTGACGACAACATTGCAAATCCTTTGACCAAGCCCTTGCCTAGGCCCAAGCTTGATAGTCACACTCGGGCCAAAGGGCTCAGACACATTGGAGAAATATTTTCGTTATTACAGACATTTATGCTTGATTTATATATTTGAGTATCATATTATTATTTAATCACTGCTTGGGATTAGATAAAGTATCCGAATAATTTAATAATTATCAAATGGGCTCATCAAAACTGTTTTGGTAAATGAAACCCCATTAAGTGAACTGATATTATAAAATTATTAGTTGTTCATGGTCTGAGTCATTAACTAGGATACAAATGACTTAATTCAAGACCATATTGTGAGATTGATTGATAACACCGGGTTTCATGTGTTATAGGGACATGGAGATGTCTAATCGATTACATAGGTATGTATGGTGATACATATCAGACAGACCTATCATAGAACTCTTCGGGTTCTTTCTGCAGAGTTCTAGGATTATTCATGATTAGTGAGTTCCTTAGACATGAGTATGATATAGTCATCATTTGACTGCTGGTATGTCTTTGACGCTGCTAAACGCTGACCGTAACAGGCAGTTATAAAAGTAGTGATTGGGATTGCCAAAAGTTGAGTGGGAGATATAGTCTTACAAGATTGAATATGTCCTCCTATTCCATGTATACCATGATACATTTGGAAAGGAACGGTGTCTCGGCCACTTGAAGAGTGAGAACTGTGAAAAACGCATGGCCATGCTCAGATGGATTATTAGTAATCATTTGTACTGACAGTTCGATCTCAAGAGTTCAAGAAACATATTTGGCGATAAAGATGAGTTTCATCATATAGTCAAATAAGACATTAAGTGACAAAGGAATTTTAACATTGCACACTTGTTTCAAGGACAAGTGGGAGATTGAAGGAATTGTGTCCTTTAATCGAATGTGCAATTACTAATTATGGTATGGGACATTTAATGGAGATTTACAATCCGGTTATTTTAGGTAGTCATAGTGCTTTGCTAGAAGCCAACTATGATTTATGGACTTTATGTTATAAAGTTCATTGCTATTATAATTGGGTCCTACGAGGTCACACCCTAAGAGTTTATGGACTGGATATATTGGGAGAATTATTATATAAAGTATATAATATAAAGTTATATAAGATATAACTTCAAAATAGAGTTTATTAATAATAAGGAGTTATTGTTAAATAAAGGATAAATTTATTTGTAAATGTTATAAAAGATAATATTTAATTATAGAATTAAATATGACTTTAATTTGTGGATTATAAATAAGAGTGGATTTTCTTTTAGAAAATCCAATCCAATTCCATTTTCTCTATATACGTGAAAGTGTTTCTACTTTCTCTCCCAAAAACCTTTCATCTTCAACCTAGCAGTTGATTTCTAAGGATCCAGATCTTTGCTCGGGTGGATCAACTAGAGGAGTTTTCAAGTGAGACTCTTAAGCTCTCCATTAGAGAAGGCTTTGAACACGCATCAAGAGGTAATCGTTTTTCATTTTTCTTAATCCAATTGATTTATGCAATAGATCATTCGTTTAGATGTTAGGAAAACGTTTCCTGCAATCTTTTTCTTAATCCAATTGATTTATGCAATAGATCATTCGTTTAGATGTTAGGAAAACGTTTCCTGCAATTCCGCTTAGAGCATCTAAAGTTTCTACAATAGATCATTCGTTTAGATGTTAGGAAAACGTTTCCTGCAATTCCGCTTAGAGCATCTAAAGTTTCTACAAAAAAGCACTTTTGGCAGGCTTTCTGCCCAACCCCTAATGCCAAATACATCAATCAAACAGCCTCCAAGTGCTACTCGTATTGGGAATCTAACGACATTAATCCTACAGTCCGACTCCTCGAGATGAGATCCACTTCATGTGTCGAAGAGGGTGAAGGATTCTTCAAAGGGTATGTTTCTCTCTCTGTTTTCTCTTTCTTTTTCTTTCTTTCTTTCTTTTTTTTTTGTTTTTGTTTTTGTTCTCTTTTTCTCTCTGTTCTGTTTCTAGTTCGGTCAAGCAGCGTCAACAAGGAGCAACGAACTGGCCAGCAAGAGTCAAAAGGGCTTAGGGTCTTTTTTTTTTTTTTGAATAATAAAGAGAGTTATAAATATACATACGCACGAATGCACATGATGGGCGTCCATGGGCCTCGGTCGAAGCGTGGATACGAAGACAGCGGATTAAAACAATAATATATAATAGAGTATTGCATTTAATTCAATAATCCACAACTCTGGGGCTTCGAAAAATTATATAAAATTTATATGAGTTATCTATATTTGGGAACTCAGGCTGAACTAGCACGAAACACATTTGAAGTTCAATCACTTCCAGCCCAACCCACACTAAAGTTATTTGCATAAAACACCCAAAAGACTATTTATTTAATAACTCATATTTTTCTAGATTATTTATAATAATTTTCAAACTAAATAGAAATTAATTTACTTAGTTTCCAACGAAAGTTCTCAAAATCACCGCAATATCGTAATTTGACATTTCACAGGCGTTACACTATGTTAATCCTTCTTCTTAGCCCCCTTCTCTTTAACCCTTTTAACTAAACGAGACCTTGAGGGATTTATTTTTTCTAATATATATTTTTTTGCAAGTTACGGGGACTATTTGATAATCACCAAAAGCTATGATGGTTGTTGCTGCCGCGTGATTTGTTTTCGGTTGTGCATAAACCGAGCCCGACCCGCTTAAACCTCAACTACTATGATTTCGGGTTCACAACGTCACGCGCAGTCTGATCTCTGGCCTCTCAAATTTTATCCCGTAAAATAAAATGCAACGAGTGCTTCCTCAATGCCGTGTCCCCTCTTCAGAGCTCCCTCCGCCTCTACGTTTCAAGAGAAATGGCAGGATTCAGTTTAAAGTCACACCGATAACAGCAAAGAGATCAAGCAACGGAGAAAAAAAATCTCAAACAAATGAATCCAGCTTATTCTCCACCCTTAAAATCTCAAGAGCCCTTGCTGTCAAGTCTGCCACCGTAATCTTTGGGCTGGGGTTTGTTGATGCAGGGTAAGGCTAATATTTGTAACATAAGAGTGTGGGTTTCAAAAGGCCTGAGCTCTTTTCGTGCGTGCAGGTACAGTGGAGACTGGTCAAGAATAGGAGTGATTTCTAAAGAGACTGAAGAACTTCTGAAGATGGCAGCTTATGGAATCGTGCCTTTGTGCGTGTTAGTTGCATCTTTCATATCTGATGAAGAGTAGGCTTCGTAAATATACAGTGTGAGCTATTGATGTGATTTTAATTATAATGGTTGAGGATTGTATCTTCTATGCGTATCTAATTGAGATTGTTTGTGTTGGTTCTTAGATGCAAGCCCATTTAATAGAATTGCTACTGTTTTTTGCTAAAAAACAAAGAATATGCAATAGAATATATAAAATAAAAAGCGATTAACAATATAAAGCAATATAATCAAACACCAAGAGCAATCAACCAGGAACACACAAGATTTTGGAGTGGTTTAGATAATAATCGTACATCACTCTATCTTCTCAGACTTCCTCACTATGCAAAGAGTTTACCTGAATCACAACCTCAATTCAGTAAGCTTACAAGACTATACCTTGGAATCTATCTGAAACTAGTCGTGTAAGCTAATTCCTACAATGAGTAATTCCTAACTCTACCTAGTCCCAACCCTCAATTCAACTGGTTTAAGTATGCGGTTAAAGAAGTTCAAAGCACAACCAACACAAACGATTAAAGCTTAGAATACAAGAATCTCACAGCTCTTTTATTAAACAAACTATCGTTCAGAGAATATAAGCGTAGCTCGATGAATAATGACGAAGAAGATCAATCCAAGTGCAAGTCCCCATGTTAGTATGTTGACCAAGTCGATGAAAAACCATGTGTTAGATGAAAAAGAATGGAATTAGTGGCCTATTAAGTGAGAATTAATTAGATCTTAATGTGATATTGTTCGGGGCTGTTAATGGTCATTATTATGATTATTGGGTGATTTAATTTTGTTTAATCTGAGGCTGATGTGGGGTGGTGATTGGTGCTGTCAAAATTGAAGAATATTAGTATATAATCCGAAAATAAAAAGTTAGAAAATCAGGCCTGAATGGGAGCAGTCGTGATTTCACTGTCCTAGAAAATTAAGGACCCGCCTATCGCCCTGGCGCAGTCGATCCTCTCCCCCCTAGCGGTAAAAACTCTTGGTTCGACCGGCCTCCGTACTCGGACAAGAGTAGCAGAGCTTAAGCTCAGACGAAGAACATTGCCCAAAAGAAGTAGTAACACAATAGACAAAATAATTTAAAACGAGAGAGCTCAGTTTGAGATGGGAGAGAGGAGTTTTTCTGTGTTTTTCAGAGGAGGAGAAGTGCGGTATTTATAGGAGATTGAGGCCTTCATAGACGTTGCTCATCCCGCACATCTATCTCGCCCGTTACCCAAATATCGAGTAACTCCCTGCGCCATCTCCTCATTCGTTACGAACAAGTCAAAAGATAAAATGATAAAATTAAAATTTTGAGATCCAAAAAGATGTGTGCGCGTGCGGTGTAGCGTAGCACGCGCGTACGTGCAGCGGTGAGGTGAGGCGTGGCATGGTGGGCGTGCGCGCGCGCGTGTTGTGCAAAGCCCACAACACCCAAAACACTATTCAAAGCCCAATAAGAGGTGAACCAATATAAACCCCTTACTATTCATCTCAATTTCCAATGTGGGACTATTCACAAAGGCAAGATTTCCTTTTCATGAACAACATAGCCAACAGTCCCCCAAAAGGTAATATTGACTGAAAACTCAAAATCAATAAACAAATCAATAAATCATAAAACAAATATAGGTTAGGCAACCTTTCGTATCGTGAATTCGGGAGAGGTAGCTTTCGGCTTTGAACCTTGCCTTAGTGAGTTCATCGCCACCTGAGATACATAATGGACTAGACCTTGAATTAGGCCCCTTGTACCACGTATTGATGAAAGAGATATATCCTATATGATGAATATGTATATATGCAAGGATATATAAACTAAGGGTGATATAAACATAAACAAGATAGTGGATCATATAAATAATGAGCTATGGACAATGGCGACAAGAAATATAAACATAAGATTAAGTGCGCCAAAGCAAACTCAAACACACGATATGATCACGGAGTTCGGACCTTCCGTCCTACGTCTCCGCTCCCCACTCCCGGGGAGAAATCCACTATCACAACCGGGTTTTCTACGCTCACCCGAATAACGTTTAATACCTCACAGTGTCGGTTTTCAACACTTACCGAACAACGTTCACTCCTCACACTCGGTTTTCTAGTTCACCGAAAACTTCACAACACACTCGGTTTCTAGCTCACCGAAAACCTAACAACACTCACAATGTAACAAATATAAATTTGTTCTCTACAGTAGATGAGAACATAATTAAGCACAATTCAATGTTATAATCTCTCACAACCCTAATATACTATGTATGTAAATACAATAAGCTCAAGTGGGTGTGTGTAACAATGAGATAAAATCAAATCAACTAAACTCAATATAAAACTAGCTTTAATAGAAATGATAATTGACAAATAACAAATGAAAGCTAGAGTAGAGTTTAGAAAAGTTCTCAATGGAAGACAAGATGGATAGATGGAGATTGGAGCCCAAACAAGAAGATGATCTCCTCCACTTGTGAAAACTTCTTCACAAACAAAACAAACCCTTAAACACACTTAAACCCTTATTTAAAACTTGTTTAAAAACTTCTTAGATTAGCTTGAGAGTTGAAGGCAATGGGGTATTTATACCCTCTCACAACTCAGCCAAAAACCCCAAGTAAAAAGACAGAAACAGCCCCAGCAACGGTAAGAAAACTAGCTATTGGAAGCTGAAAAAGCTCTCGTCGGTCAACCGGAAATTTCATCGGTCGACCGGAAATTTCATCGGTCGACCGGACCGGTCGACCGACAGACTCTCTGTCGCCCGGTTCGGTCGACCGAAAACTGACATAAATAAAAACAGGTTTTTGACACATTTAAACAATTTGTAAAATATTCATTTGACTTCTGAAAATTATGAAACTTTGGAAAATGTATATAAACATGTAAATGAACATGTTACAAAAAGGATTTTCCAAATTGCATTTCCCATTAGTGAAAAATCATCATTTGCAAAAATAGTTCAAAACACGAAAATGTAAACATGTGAAATTTGATATTTTGGTTAAACCATGTTTTGAAACTTTGCACAATGATTATATAGACTTAATAAAATATGTATATGATTATTGTTGAGTCCAAAAACTAAGAAAACAATATTTTCGCAAAATTGCATATTCTATGCAATATATACTAAAACACAATAATAAATATGAAACATGTGATTTCATATTTATAAACATGAAAATTAGTTTTAATTGGCATTTAATCGGATTAGATTAGCATAAGACCCTAATCACCCCCCTCTAGGGTCTAACAATATATATATATATCACTATATATATATATATATATGAAAACCAATATAATGTGTGTGTATAGATATTGAGCTTAACGTACTTAACACACATAATATAAAACCTAAACTAAGTTACCCAAGCTTGATCTGGTCTTCAATGTAGCTCAACTTGGTAAACTCGCGGATCAAGCTTGAACTTGATCTTTAACTTTGAATTGCATAAGCTTCACCGACATTTCGCCAACCTCCATTGGATATCATCGTTGAAGCGCTATTCCATACATCCTCCAACACATTGTTTGCCTAGAATAAATACAAAAGCACAAACACTAGACAAACAACATTAGAAGTAAATTGTTTGTTAAACATCATCAAAATAAGAAGGCCAACAATCTCCCCCTTTTTGATGATGACAAACAATTTACAAAAAGGATATATGCATGAAAGGAAATGAATATACAAATTATAATTCACATGCATATAAACAAGGAAATGTATACTCACAATATTTCTCCCCCTTTGACAACATCAAAAAGGGGACAAAAGAATGAAGAGAGCGAAAGCTCCCCCTATCATAAAGCATAGGTGAGTATAACACATAGTATAGGGATTGCTCCTCCTATCAAATTGCCATATGGAAAATATGCAATTATGAACATGGCAAACAAATGTGAGCAAGAATAAATGAAAGATATGCTAGATATCACTCACATACAAACAAGATAATGAGAACACATATAAATATGTTAAAATAAAAATAGTGTCTCATTAACACAAAAAATATAAAAGCCATATAAAAGAATAGATTTATAAAAACAAAAGAAGAGGAACATGAGAATCATGCAAAAAGTTTTCAAATGAAAACAAATCAACCAAAAGAAATCATAAATCAAAGTTTATATACAAAAACAATGTTTGATCAATAAAGAAAAATTTTCTTTACATAACTTGATCAAACCACTCATAGAATACATTATAAAGCACGAATAGATGATCCATTAGCACAAACACATAAATATCATCATATAAGTGAATTATAATGAATTCAAAAGCAACAAATCAAAACACAATTTTTAAGAGAGGCAACAATTATATCAAGCTCTTGAGCTTGTTCCAACCCATATAATCATTTAAGCATCCGATAAACATGATTTGGGAATAAACACCCAATAAATCCGGAGGGTTATATAAGTACAAACCTCTCATCAAAACAAAACAAATAATCATGAAAACAAAAGATTTTATCAATTATAAATTGTTTTCATATAAAAAGATTTCAAAGCATAATTTTCAAAACCAAGACAAAGAATGATAAAAACATTAAAATTCTTAGTTTGAAAATCAAATTTGTTTTGGTACCCAAGAACTCTTGGTACCAAAAGATTTAGGGACATGACCCCTATCATTTAAGCTCAAGGCCCTAGGGTTATGAACCCTTTTAGGCACATATGGTGCACTAACATGGTCAAAAGAATATTCATTCAAATGACCCTTCCGATTGTAATTTGTGCATTGAAAGAGATCTATTTGTTTTTGTGGACCATTAGCTCGTGCACGGGAATTATTTGCAAATAAGGATTTTCTTTTTAAATTATTTTGCAAATGAGAAACATTCTTAAACAATGGTCTATTTGGAACATATTGTAATTTAGAGGCTTTTTGTATATCAAAATAAAATTTAGCAAGATATCCAAACCTACCACAAACATCACATTTAAAAACATGTGGTCTATTGGAAGCATTTGTCAAATAAAATTTTCTTTTCAAATTAAATCAATATTTGGCCAAATGACCAAAACAACCACAATGATCACACTTGAACACACTAGCATGCTTATGATGAACTTTGTGAGAATGAGCATGTGAATGTGTAAGTGTACAAGATGAAGAAGCTACATGAGATGCACAAGGAACATTAGAATTCTT